GGCTGCACACTGCTTCCTGACGACTTTCTTGTTAGCTTGCAGGTTATTATCCAGATGAGTGTCCATAATTTTACAAAGGGGCCAGATGGTACAGTTGACCCGGCCCCGTATCCCTTGGACCAGGGAAGACACATCAAAGAGAAGCTACATTTTTTTAAAGGTTCACAGGGGACTACCCCGGTTCGATTCCGGCTCTGCCCTCTACATTCTTTCTGCGCAGCCACCTTAGCAGGGAGTGGGAGTCTTCGTCATCTTTCAAAGGTACTTTATGATCCTATGAATACGATCGGATGTGGTTTTGAACACGGCTGTTCCGCATGAGGTGGTTGGTGGATTTAGTATTATGTATAGCATCGCAGCCCCGATTTCTGGTACTACTGAAGACAAAAAGCGGGAGGGGAACGTAATCTAGGCCCGCCATGAATTTGTGTATAGAGCAGTGAGAAAGCCTCGAGGGTCAGTGCTACTCATGAACCGATTCTTGCAAAACCATTCTTGACCTGCAATACACGGTACTGGGGGATATAGCTCAAGTCAAGGGGATGGCTGTCGGCATACTTGGTCAGATGGTACAGTTGGCACGACCTGCCCAATCAAAGAAGTTCTAGGAGGCCAAACTTTTTGCGGGTGAGCACGGGTTCGATCCACGTCATGCTCACTTTTTCCCCGAGCCTTTTCTCCACCGTCGGGAATAAACGATTCAAGGTGCAAAGAGAAAAATTAAATCGTCAATACATCATCCGTGAATCGAACACAGGCCTTATCGATGGCAACGATGAATTTTACCACTAGACCAATGATGCTTATCAATATGTCTTTTTGAGATCTGATTGCAACACCACGTGCTACCCTGCTTACCCCAGTCCGAACGTCCTCCGTTCCATACATGCATTCTTACTTCACCGGGTTCAAATACCATCGTCCTGAGCGGAGTGCTAAGAATGTACATACTACTAGGTAGTGAATTGTCGCTCACTAATACCATCTAGGATAGTTAATCCGACCCTCTCTACAAGGATAAGCTCTGCGAAGTTGCGAAGGCACTGAGAAGATAAAGCACTGGATCTGGCCTCCCCTCTACCAGGTCATTTTCCTAAGCATCATGAACTTCAATACAACAGCTTTATGTAGATTAATTATGAGCCATCATATTGTTCTTTGTACAGCAATAATAGAGAAAAGTATATACGGTATACGGCAACTCTCTTCACTAAAAAGGTAGTCTGGGCTTCTTTCCCAATTGTGTGGGATGTGTGGGTTGCTAAAAAGCTGGTGGAAGAGCAGTGCTGTAACAATCTCTGTTATTGAAGACGAACGATGCCCCCCCCCCCCCAACAAACCAGAAAACATACGTACCTGAGTATAACCAAGTAGGTATGCATGCATATTGCACTTCGCTTCGCCCCACGGGTCTCTGGGCTCCATTCCCAGTTGTGAGGGATGTGTGGGTTGTTGAATGGGTGGTGGTTGAGTTGGTGCTCTTAGAACCTCTGCATTTCGGACAATGACCCTAGGATCCCCCTCCCAAAGATAAGAAAGAGGAATAGGGCCAAATAAGCCCTAAGCCCAACCAAGTAGGTTGCATACTGCATTTCTCCTCGCCACCGGAGGTTAATCTGGGCTCTTTTCCCCAGAAAATCGTACAGCAGCATGCCCAAGCGGTGCTACATTCATTATAATCAAGTTGCGGGGAGGAGCGCGATGATGGAGATTTACTCGACTCGGAGTGAGGGTCTGCGTATTGGAGGCACAAGTCGGGGGGGGGGAGCTTGGAGGCTTAGAAGACGTGGTTGGAGGGTTGTATAGTGGGTGTCCTTCAAGGTGAGCTGCTCGGGGGAATTCCGCAGTGTTCGCCTTCGCTGCAGGTGCGCAGTTGTTCGATCGAGCCAGTAGAGGTCGATAGAGAAGATTTTCAAAGTGTATGAATTGCAAATGATGGCCGTGCAACGGCGTGTGCAATGGAGTTTGGCTATGTAGACCCGCTCGATTCTATGCCAGCTGTTATATATGAGAGATCAACCCACTTGCTTGAGTTGGGTGAAAAGGCTAAGTATTGTAGGGAAGGAAGGACCATGAAGGGTGTACTTCCCAGGGAAACGGTCAAGAAGACAGTAAAACTTGAAACTCTTGAAAGACGCCTAGAAGTAATGGAAATAATGTTAAACAGATAAACAGAGATGTCTGGGGAAAGGTGGGCGACGGCGAGGTAAGCTTCTAGGTATAGCTTCACTATCATTTGATAAGGTTAATAACAAGGCTTTCAATTAACCTACAGGGCTTGGGTTGGATGAATGAATGGTGATAATAGGACTATGTGAATGATAATTTCAAGCTACGAGGCCTCGGATCGACTATCCACAGTACAGTACCTACCTTTCAAGATCTGTTCTATCCATTCCCTTTATCGCCTGTAGCTCCTCCGAGCCCCCTCTTCCACCTTCCACAAACTACAGCGTCGCCGCTATCACCATTACCAACAGTTCCAATGGCTTTTGAAAGCTGGATCCATATTTCACTCAAGTGACCTTCAATTCATCAATCAAGATTCGTGTCCTCGATTAGAGCTCGAGCGCAGCAGGAGGGGGATATTGAGCTACCAGTCAATGCCAACGAAAGCGAACACACGCCAGCAGCCAAATGCAGCATTCTCAAGAATAGGCATGTTGAATGTGTCTCACAGAGACTGAAGACAAGCGATTGTTTATGCAAGTAGAAAGCACCAACAAGCTTTGCGACTTGCTTCGTTACGGTTTCCCTGTCGAATTGGTGGCTGACTGTCCTTCGTTCTTACAGGGAAAGACGTTCTACTCGGCACAGGCCTCAATTAAACCTAGATCAACCGGAATGGCGCGAGCTCCGTCTGTCCTGTCGAATGCTGTACTCTATATCAACTGGCGATCTCCCGGGAACCGTCATGTCAAGCGCATCAGCGTCCTCGGTATGAGAACCGACGGGCTGGAAGAACTCGAAGGCATCGCCGCCCATGAGATCTTTCGAGCGCACGTGCAGGGAGTCTGGCTATATAATATTCTCATCCTTTCGTGGATGGCCATTCGGCAGACGGTGGGGGTTTGAGCTACGGTAGCTCGGCTTTTGTGCTGGTGGCTATCTTTGAGTGGAACTATAGGGGATAAATCAAGAATTCTGGTGAACAAGGTGCTTCACATGCCCTCCTACTACTATGTAGAGTGCCCGGTTCCCATTGAGGTTGTAGCTGTTTTGCCACGTCCGGCCCCTAGAGAATCGAAAATTTCTTTTCCTTGCTTGCTTGACCTTTCCTTCACAATACTGACCTCAGCGAGAGCTTCTCGATTTTGCACGAAGATCGCTTGAGCTATTTCCCCGTGATGCCAGATAGTAGGTCACTATCCCAACGTAGAAATGCCTCTATCCCGCACGAGGGCTCATGGATTGATGGGGGGCGTGAACGGTCGCGGTGCCGGCGTTGAATCTTAGAAAGTAGATGACTCTAAAGCATATGAGTTTCTCCCCTTGGACACTCGATTTGGCGTGCCCCTGCACTGAACGATGTGATTTCTTGCCGATGCAATAGCAATAATGAGATTAGGAACAAATGAACGATGCTAGTCTTCTTCTTGTTCAAACTTGAGTAAGATGACTGTCTTGCTTCGCGGCCAGAAAAGACGACCTATGCTGCTTTGGTAGCCTTAAATTGTCTGCTCTAGCTACAGTATTTATGGTTTTCTTGGAATGTAAAAACTGTGGCTACACTGGAGGCTGTGCTTCAATGGTCAATGTGCTTATTGCACGCTTCCTTTAAAGGCTCTTTGTTCTCATCTATTCATATAAGAGGTGCCCGGTGCCTTGACACTGGAACCTGAGAGGAGGCGGCAGTCGCAATACGACCAAAGTGTACCAGGACTCACTACCCCCTCGAGATTCGGCTCGGTCTCTTATCAGTTTGGCGCCATTGGAAGTTGATGGCGTACCTTGGAACAATGCAGAGATCTTTTGATTCAGCGAAAGACAAAAGGACGCGGAATAATCTGATCACTTGGACCCACCAGCCGAAAGACTCGACTACATCGAACTATTCATCCAAACACCCCACGAAGCAGATTGTCTGGCGCACAGAGACACAGATCACACAGAGTCACAGCCAAAGACGTGCAAGCAAAGACATACAAGCAAAGCCCACACGAGCAAAGCACACAAGCAAAGACACACAAGCATGTAGAAATGGAGCCAGTCTTCCTCTCCAGATAGTCGGACAAGCCGGCACCCTGGTGAAAAAAAATAAGAAGGGGTCTGTCGAATGACAGACAAGGTTTCAAAAATTGCTTCCCTGGAGACCAGAGGAAGACAGTGATGTATGCTTAGGGCAAGCCTACTCTAAGTGCTACCATATAGGTAGCGACAACACTCAATCAAAAGAAGTTGGAGAGGAAAAGAGAAGAACAGGACGAGAGGGGGGCGCGGGCGGGTTCTTATACCCAGCATGAGTAGATCAACAGAGGAAGGAACGATGACCCTCGCTTAACCTTCGAATAGGAAGCCCAATAGATGTGGCAGGTGGCAGGTGCAAAGTCCGCCGCGAGTTTGCATTCTTTCCTCTTTCCTCTAGAGGGGAAACGCATAATACAGTGGCAGTGCCGCCTACCATTGTAAGATTCATTCTTTCGGTCTGTATGAGAGATTAAAGCCAGTAGTAGGACTACACATGAAGGGTACGGAGGGTACAGTACATACATAGAGGATGTTCTGGGGTAAAAGAGTCCTCTGAAAGCCTCAAGGCCATCACCTAGATTCGCTGCCTTGCTTGCCCAAAAATGTGCTTGATAAAGTGCTGGGTAAGTCGTATTTATCAACTCTGCCGGCAGGAGATGTGAGCAAGAACACCAAGCATTGTACGAAGAACAGAAGCAGATGCGCTCTTGGAAGATGGACTACGCGTGGACGCGGTGGTCGAAACGCTTGTTTGATAGAAGGACTGAGCAGCGATCGAGAAGGCAGTGAAAATTGAGATCTATCACATTATACAGAGTACGATTCAAGCGTGATGATAAGATCTGGGGCGGCTCTTCTCCTAGGGAAACACTAACACATTTATAGGAACTTGTGGAGATCTAGGCCCTTTGAGCTTTCAGGAATTATCACTTGGAATCTTTATATAGGAATCGCTAAGGGATGATGTGAATGATGCCATACTAGACCTGCTTACACACGTCCTCCCCGTCACATATCCCACCCCCAGACAGTCCCAATCTAAGCTGAAACCATTGAATGTATGGGAGCCACATCCAACTGGACCAACCGGACCTACGACGACTTGGGTCGCCCGACCCGTTGCCGCGGGACCGAGGTCTCCAACGCTGCCATGATCTCCGCTCCAAGAATATAGATATTATAGCTGGGGAAGACAATCCACAGACCACTACAATCAACTGATCAGCCTTCTGCCCTCCTCGATGAGCTTTAAACAAGGTAAAAAATCAACTTACTTCGGGATAATCCAGAAGAAGACCAACGTCCAGAAATCATTGTGTCCGATGTTCTCAAACCCGGAGAACACCTCGTTCAACCCTGTGAATTGGATGTCAAGATCAGCAATCATTTACCCATCAACCTCTCCCCCTTCAGCCCTCGCAGAGGTGAAAAGAAGCGGGGGAAGGGTGAGATCAACCTACAATAAAGAACCGTCTTCCCCAGCGTCATCACCGAAGCACTGTACGCGACCAGCAACGCCAGTGCGCCCGTCCGCCCCGCCACCACCTTCGTCTCGCGCAGGAACCACTCCACGCCCTTGTGCGGGTGGCGCTGGCCGCCGCGGCCGTTGGCGGTCAGGCTAGTGCCGTAGCGGTAGACGACGGCCAGGTAGTAGAGGTAGCCGGCGCTCTCGAACAGGTTCAGCACGGTCTGCGCGGCGGTGAAGCCGTTGCGGGCGTTGAAGGCCGGCCAGCCGTAGATGTAGTCGATCGTGCCGTAAAGCGCGTAGGGGGTCCACAGCGGTGAGTGCAGGCTGTGGCCCGGCATGGAGTGCGGGCGGAGGAGGACGTAGCCCGCGTCCCAGAGGACGAGGGGCACGGAGAAGAGGAGCCAGAGCGTGATCGGGGTGGAGGGGGTATGGACCCATTTTTTGGGGGTGTTGCCGCTGCTGCTGCTGCTGCCGTTAATATTGGTGTTGGTGTTTGGGGTTGGGGACGTTGGAGGTGGTGGGAAGTCGTCGGGGTGATGGCGGGTTGAGACCATGGTTGGGGTTGGTTGGTTGGTTGGTTGGTGTCAATTGGGATGTAATATTGGTGCTGTGGGCGATGAGGAGGAGGAAGTGCTAGGTGGTGGCCAGAATGGCGGTGGTGGTCGTGGTCAATTGATGGAATTGAGGGACTTGGAAGGAGATTGAGAGCTCAATGAACGAACGATGAGTGATGAATGGGTTGACCCGAGGGCGGCTAGTGACGTCGTGCAGGTTAACTACATGCAGCCACTCATAGCTTCGTCGCGGCTTCCATGACTATTCCATGGAATCATTGATGTCTTGCGGCTAGATCTGTCATATTGGGAGAGGCTATCGACCTCTAGGATCCTAAACATGGTGTGGGGAGCAGACACACCTTTCTTCACAATTGATCTATGAGATCGCCTTCCTCTGGCACGCAATGTATGTACAGTCTTGTACAGTACTTTACTATACTATATATACTACTGGTAGGGAAGGTTGCCGTGCCGAGCACACGTAATCCCGAAATTCTCCAGATCTAAAGGGCTTCCATATCTGATCTGATATCGTACCGAAGTTTCTGAGCTATGACCTCCAGTCGGTGGGTCAGTCATCGAGTGGCTTTGCTGTCAGCCCCTTATCTCCTTTTAATCTTTCACACTGACGAGTTCCAGACCTCCCGGATCCTTCGCCCTATACGTCCTAATCGGGCAATGGACCCCGAGGCACGGGGCGACTACGGCATCCAGTTTCTGCCATTAACGCAGTGAGGGACAATCTTGCATCACAATTGCATATGAACCTATTCCGTAGCTCCTCGCACGGGTTGTAGAATTATGCTGCTTGGCTCCTAACAATCCTCCGTTGTCCAGACATCAAACTCCGACCCACTGCAGAATGGGCTCGCCATCGCCTTCAAAGGTTTCTAGCACTCTGTGCCCGTTGTCAAGCCTTTTACAGTTCTGACCAAACATCACACGCAGGTTGCAGATAGACTTGCACGCATCAGGGAGAACCAACGAAAGAGCCGTGCCAGAAAGCAGGCGCATACTCGCGAGTTAGAGCAGAAACTAATCTTCCTACAGGAGCAAGTCCGTCAGAAGGACGTTGAACACCGACTGACAGTCCAGTGTCTCGACGCAGAGAATCGGAGACTAAGATGTTTATTGTTGGACGTGGGCCTATCATCCAATGCGATCGAGGACTATTTGAATAAGACGGTGGATGACCCAAGCCCAACGCAGAAGATCGCCATCCCCAGCCTTTCGCGGTCTGGCGTGAAGGCTCGACCGTGTCGTGGCCGTGTCCAGCAGACTTGTCGTTCTGAGACCACTCCTGATACTGCTGGAGTATCGCCACCTTTAGATTCGAAGCCGGTCAATGGAGTGAGAGAGTCTACCGTCGACCTCCCAGGTCACCCGATGAAGAATGACCGAGAGAAACCCCACGGTCAATCAGTATGTGGCTGCTCACCCGACGAAACCGGATCGTCATGGCCGGATAGTAACAGCGGAGATGTCCTCAATACAACCCTTTGCGCCATCGCCGACGAACTCATCACACAGTACAACACGCGGGGCGTTGAGCTAGACGAGATTCGACGCAAGCTCTGGGCAGGCTTCTCCAGAGGCCTCACCACGGAGGAGGGGTGCAGGGTGCAGAACCAGATTCTGTTCCAGGTTCTTGACGAGATTAGCAACAACTGAGTCGCCTCTCTGACCTTTATAATTGACTCCCAGGGGTCAGCTTTCTGGCTAGCACGGGTAGCTCAGGGTGTGCATCTCAAACTGAGGAACAGAAACGAGTCTAGGATTTACGCCTCCCACCTCCGCTTCCTGGCATACCACCGGACTGCATATACCAATCCCAACAAACACCGGCACCTCAATCAGCGGCTCAGCAGTAGCAGCCAGCGCCTGATCACTCTTCACCGCAGATGTGGCAATCGCCACTACGATCGCCACCTCGAAGTTATTGCTTGCCGCAGCGAAGCTTTGTGTGCACGACAGCCGGTATTCAGAGTCACATCGTCGTGTCACGGCGAGCGTGACCGCAAATATCACCGAAAAGTGAACTCAAGGGGCGCCGCCACTCTGGCTACAGAAACGATCTGGTGTACCACTTGCTTTCCCTGAGTAGCAAACAGCACCAGAGTCGTAAAGAGCAGCCCGATCAAGGACAGCGGGCTGATCCGCTTCAGGAACTGCTCATCGTACCATTTATTACTCCAAAAGCGCAGGCAATGCGGCTGACAATCGCTGCTCTCAACGGGATCCCCAAGAATACCCCGACGCTTTCGCGGCCAGGGAATAGTCAATCGTCAACCCGTGCTGATGTGATCCGCCAATGATGTGAATTAAGAGAATCGCAAACGGAGCGAAAAGGACCATCTGCATTATCGAGTTGATCGCCACCAGGATGGGGCAGTATTCGCCATTACCGTCCAAGTCAGAGGATGTGGTACATCATGACCACGAGGTCGAGTGCTGCGTTGACGCACTTGCTGTCAATATCAAATTATATAATTATACTAAACACCCAACGAATGCACTATGTTGTCTAGCCTGCTGGGGCTTTTATGACCCATCGGCACAAAAACCCCGACGAATTGCTCGTCTCCAGGTTTCGACTGGTATTGGGGACGAAATTCCCTAGGAGGATATCTACTACCATAGCCAGTAAGGTTCATAGAGTAATAAAGCGGTCCAGGATGGAGCTGCTGGAAGAAAGAAGTAGCGAGCTTCTAGGCTCGAGAACAGAGGGCTCATCATGGTGTCGTTCGCTCTCACTACATGCATCCAGGTCTTTTGAGGGCGCCGGTATTGGCTTCTTATTGGGGGGGAGGGGGAGAAGTCGGCGGTGTATATTCGGCTTCTTTTCTCTGTTCATCTTGTACTGGTATAAAGCTCAAATCTCGAGTTAAAGATGGTTGCTTTAGTGTGCCGTTTTTGTTCACAGAGCAAGCATCCTTGAAGCTCACTCGCTCTCTTGGATGCATACCTAAGTAGTACAGCGGCCAGAAGGGCTGTCGCTCAAGCAGCGTGACTGAGTGACATGCTCTATATAGTACCGCAAGATTTACTGGATGAAGGATATTCGGATTCAGGAAATTAAGACCTGGTAGAGCACGCCATCAGAAAAAGATATACTAGAAACATCCTTTATCCATTGGTCAAAAATCAAATCCTAGAGTAGAATGAATCTCTGGGGAAGGGATACATTCCATCGCTGGCCCACTAAAGGTATATTCACACAGGGTATGTTTTAAGACAAATTTTACCTTGTCAATATGCTTTTTAATACAAATCCTCTGCCTTTGCAGGCCTGGGATGGAAGAGAAAGTGGACTGTATAGCGCAGCAGCCGCGGCCAACCTTATCTCGATAAAACGTTCCAGATAGAGCCTGCAAACCGAGCGACGGGGCTAGATAAATAGCATCTGAACCGTAATTGGTAGACCAGCACTCGGAATTGAGCTGTTGAGCTGCGTTAGGAATAGAACAAGGTCAGGAGGGCATTTCATCGGGTACTGTGTAGGTCTCTTGTCTGCTATACTCCTCGGAGACCGAGATTCCATCTTCTAGCGCCACGACGCCTTTTTCTCGGGACTCAAACGAGTCGGGAGGAAAGGATATCGGGAAAGGATCATGGTGCATGGAACGGCAAGACTGCGCTGCACCGCATTGCACATGCTGGAGGAAGAACTCGGCGAATGAGCCCGAGATACAAGTCACCTGAGCCTGAGGCTGCAGATTCCCGAAGAAAGGGAAGGAAGGGATGCCGATGCTGGGGCTCAGAGACCCGGTTGGTTGGCTGGGCTGGTCCTCGGGGAGAGGGACGGGTTGGACTATACCTGGTGTTGTCTGTGCTTGGATATTTCACATCGGTCTGTTCTACGGGCCGGTCTTTGGCCAAGGCTCATGATAAGAAGGCTCGGGGTATGACTGCGAGTGCAGGGACTTCAGTACAGTATGAGGTAGATTGTAACGGTGCTGAATTGGGTTATTAGACATGTTGTATGTTTGTGGTCAGATGAAAGTGTTTTATTGCATGGGTTTGGCTACTTCTGATTCTAGATGCAGATCTTGAGGGTGGGAGACAGGATTGGGTTCTAGGTATGATTGTGGCCGAGTCTTACGAGGTTTCGAGAGTGTCTACGCGAGGAAGAGAGATGCATTCGCATACTATGGGTCAGCGTGTTATTCTCGATATTGCTATCAGAATGAACCCGGGGAGTATGCCGCGGAGGCATATAATCTCTGGACAACCGACAATGGCAGTAGCTAACTAACCTTTATGTTTTACAAAGCTATCAACCATGACCGTATGAACAGTTCAATGACCCGACTAAGCACAGAAATAATTTGTTCCTAACCACTTGCGCGGCAGCAATGGTCTCTTCATCGCATTGGAGGACCCTCCGGTGCCGGGTCCGCTATCGGCCGGGGTGGTGTCCTGCCCGCGCCGGAATTCGCATTCTGGGGTGTCAGGCGATAGCGGAGAACCCTGGACAGTCCACGAGGGGGGCAGAGTACATACTCAGGTAGTGCCACATTAGATTGTTTTCTTGCCAGAATACGAAGAGAGGCTATGTGGAGAAACGGAGAAATACTCTCCACTTTCCAAGTAAGATGTATGACTTCTGTTGTGACTAGAAAGTGCTAGATACAATTGTCTAGCCCTCGGGTTGTTGGGCAGTCGCTTAGTGTGGGACTGTTTAGTCCCGGAATCGTGGTCTTCGGGATGATGACGATGGAAAAAAAAAAAACAAACCCCCACGGAGGCTTTCCCCGCAACCCCAGTCCAGCCCGCCCCAAATTTCCTGCGCGGACCGAGCACAAAACTGCAGGGTATCCGACAGGGAAATCTCAACGAACTGCGAGAGAAGGTCTACCTCTCAGACTGTCTGGGTAGATTGTCGGGTCTTTATCCTTTGAATAGGCTAATATGATCGCATTGCCTGTTTAGCTGCCCTCTAGTCTAATGGGAAGGTAACAGCACATCTCATTGCAAACCTAATGTTGGCTGGGCTTGCGCGGAGTCAATGCGCACCGGGAATAACCTCAGCCCAGCTGCTCTACATCCCTTCCCGAGCACACCAGGCCTACTTCGAGAGAATTCCCAAGCTAGCCATGGATCTGGCTAAACCACGGGGAAATGTCGTCAGACCGTACCGTAGGTTATACTGACTCATGGATGAGAAATCCATGTAGTCTCAATGCCGACTGCCGAGAACCCTGATTTGGGAAGAATGGAGGACGATCCAAGGCAGAATA